GTCCTGGCACGCGCGCCACCAACTAGCTGGTGCACGTGCATGCGCCGCGAACGGCCGAACCCCGACGTACACGGGCTCAGTCTCCGTAGGCTTCATCCCGTCTGGTCTGGGCTTCTGTACCGCGGACTAACCAAATTCTATGGAAGGAGCCCAGGAAATTCACCGGTGAAGGACGGACGGCTGCTGTTTTAATACGAGTAGCACCTGCTCGCCCTGAGTGTTGCTCTAGACATCGTCATCCTTCCTGGGGTCACCGCCCCGTAGAGACAAAGAAGCTATCTCCTCAAAAACACTCGCCTCGATGACGGTGTTGCCCAGCGTTTCAAAATTGGAAGCTGACACGAACAGGTCGCTGGCCGCATATGCAGCACCTTAACCAGCAGTGGAACGCAGCCGGCCCGCAAATACAGCCAGACAGTTCAACCCCATCACTAGAGCTTTCACCTCATGTATAACTTGACTCATTCGCGTTTACTTCTGCGTGGGGTTTTTGACGACTGCACCTACTTGACTTGCGACGAGAGATGTTTCGCTCCGTGGTTGCGGGCATGTATATAATCCAAGATCTTCAAGTAAATGTTTTTGGGGTTGCGGGCTGGCACTCACACCTCGCAAGAATCCTGGCAGTCGGTAGCGCGGCACGTGCGACCCATTCACCTTTAGAGCGACTCCTTTTGCCGTATAGAAGGACCAGTGCAAAACACCGCCACACCAAGATCAGAACTCCCTAGCATCCGGACTCTGGGGCTGGCTGTTAGCGCGACTATGGAAAGGAAGGGGCAGATTCCGGACCTCGCAGTACCTGCCTATCTTGATGACAACTGAAAATGCAGGATGTTGTAAGTCACCAGTCGGACGAACACTGATCCATTGTGTCTCCTTGCATTTCTTGCAACATAGTAAGTCGGGCACGCAACTCCTTGCCATTCAACATCTTCCGCAAGGGTAGAACATTTGGCCGACCTGCCCAAAAGCAGTTCATGAACATCTACTAAGTCGGAACAAAGGCAAGCCGGCACGGAGGAAAACATCTGCTTCCCGTCTATCGACTTGCACTTTGCCAAGTCCTGCTCCATTGTCACCTCACTCATCTGCCAAACGACGTGACCACGGAACTTCACGAATGATATCTTCTCTCAGCTTCGTCGTTCTATGGCGTCTCTGTCTTTGCGGTTTCCGAAGGTTGGGCGGGTTTGGGTATTTGCGCTCGGACATGACGCCTAGATAGGATTCAATTGAACCGAACCAAACAGCCCGGACAGGCAGGGATGTTTCCCGCAGCTGGCACGAGTGAGGATTGAAATCAACACGTGGCTGCTCATGATGACTGATTGATGTTCCGGGGCAACCGACCCTGCACAAGTCGGCCCTGAATCCACGACGAGGTCCTGTTTTCTTGGTACGGATTTTGGGACTGGGACGTACGGCTACCTGGCAAAGGGTAGCAAATGCAAAACCAACACCGGAATCCGGTCCTTTCGGCAAGCTGCCCTACATGCCGATTTGGCTAAACAAGCTTCCGTGTGCTTCGAAACTGTGGCCTGAAGCCGGGGCATTCATGACAGTCTGGCAATATCCGGAAGTTCCATCGCCGACAATCACCAACGCGCAGTCCTGCAAAGCCAAGGTGGGACTGTCATTTATTTTCCTGCATGCCTCGGCCATGGCATTAGATGACACTGCGGTCCTTCGGCAGTGCTTCCCACAGCAGATGGATTCGCTTTTCCGCGGACCATCTCCCAGCTGACCTTTATCGAGTCCAGCTTCCAAGCTTCCAGCGCAGTAGGTTTGTTCTTGCCCCAGTTCAGTGTGCCTGCACCCCGACTCTCTTGCCTAGTCTGCAGCTGAAGAGCAGAAGGATTGCTCGAGGTTCCTTAGCTTCCGGAGCCCCGCACCGAGAAATTCCGTTCAAACACTGCACATAAGCTGATGATGAAAGACTTACAAGTACAAGTTACAAGCTTTTGCCATCGCAAAGACAAGGCTCTTGGCAGCCCTGTGCGCGCAGTTTCTCCAGCCACTCAGAGCGCAAGGCCTGCGCCTGGCGAGTATCGAAAGCTCTTGAAGCCTGCGGCCCTCAACAAGCTGCAAATATCTCTTCCTGCATTTAATCAAAGTGTTCAGCAGAACCACATCTGAAACCAACACTGTCTGTGCTTCCGGAACATCCTACCTCGAGGATCGGCATCCAAGTTTGCAAAGGTATTAACTAAAGTAACTAAAGTCGTTCATGTTGGACTGCTCCTGGTCCGCCCACTCTGCCGGCTCTGCTTTGAACTCCTGCGATGGGCGAAGACTGGCTGACTGGCAATGCTTGGTCCAAGCAGTGGGAAGTCGGGAAGCAGCGTGAGTGCGCGAACGACAGCTCTTGACAACGCAAATGGCAGGAGCAAGCAATGCGAATCGCAACAAGCCGACAGGCCGAAGCCCTCTGTGTCAAGGGCTCGCGCTGTGCCAGACCAAACTTTGTCCTCTGACCACAAGATCGGAGGCCATATCGCACTGATGGGGATTCCATACCTGGAATGCCCATGCAGCCCATGCCAACCTCTGCACAGATCCCGGTTGAGATAAAACGAAGTCTTCCCTGCGAAACGGTGGGAAGGAAGCAAATGGATGATAATGGAAATACGAAGCAGAATCTCGCTGCAGTATCCTCAGACGATCTCCGCGGCCAGGCTGCGTCTTGCCCATCTGGGCCCCGAAAACCCTGGACACCGTCGCATGAACGCTTGCCAGCCTGCGCTTGACATTTTGCCGATAAGGCTAGCTTCACAACCGGCAACTGGACTGCCACAAGGGCGCTTACTCTTACACGACCTTTGCTACTTGTTGCCAACATTGCAACCCCACGCCTTGTTCCAACAATTTATCTTCTTGGCCCGGCCTCGTGCTCAGCATGTGAATCTTCCACACCAGTTTCACGACGCCCTTGTAGGCCTCTTCGGCTCGGCAACTGAGCTGCAAAGCCATGTGCCGAATCCGTCGAGTCACGTGGCAGACAATGGTCTCGAAGACACGAAAACCCTAGCACACAGCTCCTTCCTGCACTGCTCGCGCGAACGACGCATACAAACGGCAACTCCGCCCTCCCAAGGAGTGCTGCCTATATTCAATAGACTCCTTGGCTCCCGGAAGGCATCAAGGGGCCTTCATGTGAGTGATGTCCGTGTGAGATGAGACCTGGGCAGGTGGTATTGTTTGCATAGTATGCGTTGGCAAAGCCGTTATGTCTCATCAGCCATCTACCGTCTCCTCTGTAGGTCTACTCAAGTCTCCACCACACCCAAAATCTCCCTGGCCGACTGCATCACAACAACTTTCGCTTGCATTTCGCCTCTGCTTGCATGCAAAGCACGACTGTTGGAATGCCCAGGGCCCGCGTGAGCAGAAGCAGCTCCAGGCGCCAAGGAACCTTGAAAGTTTCATCCGTCCCGGTTCTGCGGTGACACTCGCGTGACAGTATAGTCATGGTGATATGGGCACGAGGGCCTGATGTTGGAGCCACGAACTGAGATGCAACACGAGTTCGTGTCGTGGGAGACGAGCACCAGGATCCGAGGTCCGGTGCACAGCTTTCAGCAGAAATTGGATGTAATAGTTGTGTAGTGACGGTTGCTCTCTCCCGCACCACAAGCACCGAAGTCCGTCCTAGTAAGACTTGTCGCGCGGGCGCGCGCGCGCGCGCGCGCGCTCTTTCGCCTGCGCTTTCGCCACTCTTAGCACCAATACCAGTAGCACTCCGCTTATTACGACGACGACGACTACTCCCATTCTGACGAGGACAAACGACCCTCAGCTGCAGAAGTTGTGCCGGCATTCTTTGTTACGGCTGGGGCAGTTCTGGGTTTGTTGCGGCACTTCCGTGCTGAAAGAAGGCATGGAGAGGCTAGACCATCCGGGCCCTACCGCCCACATGCGCAAATCTCTACCCTGGCAAAGAATGGAACAGAGTCGCCTGTTCTCGCATGATGAGCTTCTGGCAAGAGTCTTGTAAAGCCTCGCTATCCTTTGCCAGTGAACTACACAAAGCAGTGGCCGAGACAGACCGGCCTTTGAAGCCTTTGTGCAGCCGAAAGTAGGGAAGCCGTGCTCACCCTGAGGTCTCGTCTGCGGTGTCTGCCATGAAGTCAGCGGCCCGGCTTACACCTAAGTTCTCTTCTGGCAAAGCTTCGATCAATCCATCCTTGTTCCGTACCAGTAAAGGTGACTTCTCATCCTGCACCATGTCCGGCAGGTCTTCTACCTGCAAATCTGCACCGACCTGCTTGTACCCGTCGGTTGTCAAGCGGGTTACGTTCTCGCCTTGTTGCGCGAGCTGCTCCACGTCCCAAATCCCAACGTCCAGCAGTCCGGTCTTGTCGGCCAGCAAGTGCCGGCTTCCACATCCAGGGCACGTCGCAATCACGATGCCCTGCTGATATGCGAGCCTGGAGATCATATGCGAATTTCGGGTTTCGCAGATCTTGCAAGTGAAAAGGATCTGGAACTTGCGCGGGGCCACTCTGGCAAAGGGTATTGAGCCTCTAGCTGCAGGCTGTTCATCGCCATTGCCGGCCTTTTCCGATGGCTGAGCTGCTCCTAAGAGTTTGGGCGGCTCATCCTCCGCTGGTGTCTGCGGCACAAGGGCGAAAGTTGGAAGCCAAGATCGGCTCACCACAAGTGCCGCCATAAGTGTGGCAACAACTGCCCGGCTGCAGAAAGAGATTCGAAGGCGGGCGCGGCCATGGATATTTTTGCGCGCAGTGCTCCGCCACATGGCTGACTGCACTGAATCTTGCTGCTTCAAGTCTGCCACGGCCATCCCTGAAAATATGCACTTTACGAAGTTGCTACCTCTGTCTGCCCGAGGAAATCTTACATTACTAGTAGGTGGAAAGATTCTCTGCTCGTGCTCCTCAAAACCTGTCGTGGCAACCACACGCACATGCGTGAACCCTAGAAATGTTTGAATTGTAACTTGACCGTGTGCACCCACCACCCACTCTATACTCCGCAAGCATCTACAACCTGATTCGCACAGGATGCCTCTCATGTCCACGCAAATTGGGAATCGGATGCCTCCAACCTCAGACTCGCTTTAACGCAGTTTCGTCCTCAGGGCTGCACATCATCCAGAAACAAACAGTCGTAGCCTCCACGAACCATGGTTTCCCTGCCATTGAACACGGTTCTCGAAGAATGGAGCATGTTTGATTAGCAGGGCAACTTAAAGACATCGCCTCAGCAGCGCTGCAGCATTGGCATAGGAGAAGAGATCCTGCGAAGTGACGACACGCCGCTTTACGCGCACCGTTCCACCAAACGGCCATGTAATCTGGCGGCGTTGTTTGTGCGTGTGGCATGGCTTCGTGCGGCAAGCCACTAGGAAGACCGCGACGCCGTCGGTGGAGGAGCGAACACGGACCTGCAGCTTCAGTAGGTTTGAGCATAGTATGAAACGCTCTCTCGTGCAAAGTGCCGCAGGCTGGCCATGCAAGTACAAGGCGCTCCGAGGCGCCAGCCCCACGAGCTGGCAAATGGACCAGCTTGCCTTCCGAAGTACACCACAGCTCTGAAGCCATTCAGAAATCATAGCAAAGTGCTTTCCTCCCTCTGCACGTGTTGGCACCTTCTGCAATCCATCTTTTGATGTCTTTCTCGCTACTCCTGGTGCAGTCCACAGGCGTCATGAGGGTCACCTGCCAACCTGCTGCAATTTCGAAACCACGAGCGGCACTTGCAGGCATGCGAGGTCGTCTGCACAGACCCGTGAGGCTCTGACCCAAGCCATCGATCAATGCTCGACACAATGTAAAGTAGCGCTTGGAGACCCCGCCTCGCAAGTAGCATCAGCACTACGAGTACTACTGGAGCACACGCGGGGCAAGGAGTGTCCGTATAACGTTAAAGAGTTGAAGCTATCGCTCAAACTACCTGGCCTGCATTCTTCAGCAGCGGTGGAAAGCACTGCACAACCACGAGGGCTTTCATCGCCCTGCCGAGCTAGCAAGAGCCAAGTTGTCCACTCGCATGAAACCGCGGCCGACGAGTAGTGTGCATATCTACGCATGCCGACACCCAACTACAACTAGCGACATAGCCTGAGATCACACACGCGAAGCAGCGTGGTGGCAAACCAACCGCTACCCGTGCTCTTTGGATAGGAGATGGGTCAATGCTCGAGATCCCTGCCTGCCTGAATGCCGCGGCGCTGGCCCGGCAAGCTAAGCACTTGATCACAGCGACACGGACGATCGCAGCAACTTTGCAACTTTGGGATCCTAGACGGCTCCTCTCCTTGCGTCTCTGCCGTCGAAGGGCAAGATGACACGTGCCGCAGCTGACACGTGGTGGTAGACACTCGGCTTCGCATCCCAGCGAGATAAACCTTTCAACAGGATCCTCTTGACCTTGCGAAGAAAATCCGAAATGCTCGATTCGACTTAACAGCATTTCGACATGGTTCCGTGAGGTTGCGATCACTAAGCCCGTAATAGCCGGGAAGGTTGTTCCATGTTTCGCAAAAAGAACTCTGACAATTCACACTGGCTCATCAAATCAATTTCACGGTTTCACCTGTAGCATGATCGCTTCATCATGTCACGACTACGACTTCGAAGTCCCGACCAGTTGCAAAAGCAGTTCGACGAATTCAAGCAAAGTGGAGACAGCACAGAAGGCCCCACCCCTTTGCGAACCCACCTCTGGTCAGTTGCATGGGCACATTCGGTTCCACGGACCAGCGGAGAGAAGGAAAACTGAGTTCGTTCGGCAAGGGTCTGGCATTTTATTGTCAAGCCACGGGAGGCCATGACGATCTCATGCAATTCTGGCAGCCACAAGCTCACGCTTTTGCACACGCGCCATTAGTCAGATAAGTTAACACAGCAGATTTGACAGCTCAAGATGGTAATTAGTGGTCGGCAGTTGATCCTAATATCCTAGTCCTGGTCCTAGCACCCAAGGAACACGGGTCCCACTATCTTGGACAAATGCTGGCATGACTCAGGAAACACTTCCGGTACAGCTGGGAATGGGAAAAGATCAGCTGCGCACCGACGTTGTGGCGTCTTGAGCTCGCAAGAACATTCTGTGTACAGTTGGCCCAGCTTTGGAGAAGCAACGTTCGAGGAGGCTACGCCCAGAAATAAGATGACATATTGGGCCACTACACAAACTGGGCTAGCAGTTTCGGGGACTGGGCGTTGCCTCTGATCCATCCATTAGGCTGCGAGGTGACCACGGGCTGATATTGCAATCCAACGTACTGACAAGAATTGCACGGGTCTCTGGTTTCAAGTTGACATCAGGATCTCCACATATCTGCACCCAAGCCCTTCTGATGCCACCTCGATACTCTAGACGGTCAGAGCCGTTAACGCAAGCCTCGCAGTGCCCAGCAATAAAGGCACGGAGACCCTGAAATAATGATTGCCTTCTTGCAAACAGCTCATGGTAAGACTGTCTGCTGCAATTGGTACTGCCAGGCAGCATGCAGTGCATGCAATCAACCCACTCGCAGGAAGGAGTACTCCAGCACCCTGTCGACCGCACTAGACTAGCTGACTAGCACTTACGGCTTGGCCCTGCTGAATACTGGAGTGCAAACGAACGTGCAAAGATAACACACATAGCTTGCGATTGGATGAAACCGTTTCAGACTCACGCTCGGAACTGCTCGGAGGAACAGAGATTCAGGAAGTTCGGCGAGAGATGCCCTAACCTTGAAGCCTCTTCGCTGGCTCCTGCATCGGAAGCCATGAGGTCTGTTTCGCAGGACGTTCCCACCCACCCGACAGACTGCTTGGTTTGGGAGTTTGGGAACATGGACATTCAAGGCTGGCTGACTCTTTACACATCGGACATCTTGCTGGATGTGCTGATGTGTCTGTTTGTGTGGTTGCTTCTATTCCGTCGATCTTCTGTCGCGGAGGGTAGCTTGTTTCGGTGCTATGGCTGGTTCGCCCTCGCGGTTGCTCTTCAAAGCCTTCCTTCTTCAATTAATTAGTTTGGGGCGGGATTGTCCGGGCTTCGGCAACTTCTCTCGGGGTGCCGCAATGCCGCCGCGCGGCCCACGCACACATTACGTTTCTCGCATCCTCTGCAGATTCCGCTCGTCTACGCTTTTGCATGATCTTGCATGTCACATCTTTTTCGGCTCTTCAGGTTTCCTCCCGGCTCCTGAGACCTGAATACCAACCCTCTAAGCCCTCGACAACCTCGCGGCGTGCCCGTATACTGTACGCTGTATACAGTACCAGCGAACTCCTGGCTTGCGGCAGTATAGCGCGGCTTCCGAAGATTCATTTGTGGGACATCCTTCCTGAAAATGTTGAAAATCTACCGACCACGGCTTCCAGGCGGATTTCTTCCCAGAGCAGGTTGCTCTGGTCGCCTGAGCAACCCTTTTGTGCTGATCTCAACCGTGTCGGAAGTGCGTGTGAAACGCAACTGTAGTTGCTCAAGAAAGACATAGAAGTATAGGGAATGATACTGAAGGGTGTTACATCATCATACAGCAGAATCATACACATTGTGGCCAAGCTGTTGCCGAGCATCGGCAGAAGAGTAGGCGCTGGGTTTCCCATTTCTGCTGGGACTTTATAACAAACAAGCCTCCTCCGCAGCAGAAAGCGGCCGGCTCCCTCATCTATAGTATTCTGCAGCCGTGTAAATGGTTAAAGTCTTGAAAACGGATGGAAAAAGGCGCTGGCGCCTAGGGCAAACAATTGCATCAGGAGTAGTGGCCCGTATGCAGCTCGAGCTTCTGCTGCCCTGCTCGTCTGGACCCCGTGTTGAAATCACATAGACGAGCGGAGATGGAGGGAATCAAGACATGAGGCATAGGGTGAAACCTTCGCAGGATCTTGTCTCGCACACGGGCATCAGTTTGGACCGGACGTGACCGGACTGCTAACGGTTTGGTCTGAATGTATCCGCTGCTAACACCACCAGCCCTTCGCACGTGACAGATCCATGACTGACTGGAACCAGTCACGGCCACGCAGTTGCGCTTGCCATGCAGTTGCCAGCTCTGGCTCTGGCTGCAACCAGCACTGCTTTCTTCCTTTTCTTTACTCTAAGCACAGCACAGAAGTTCTGCAGAACATCTCGCATCACACGAAGCAGTGCTGTGAGCAGATGGCGATCTTCGCCCACAGCAATCCCTGTTAACAAGTGAAACTTCTCATCATGGGTATATTGGGTCTGATTCCACGGCTGGCTCCACAATGAAGCCCGTGGGAAGATCCCCAATCGGAAGAAATTACTCGGTGTCTAGGACGACCCAAGCCGAGGAGGCTCCAATGTAGACACACCATTGGAAGACCAGGAACGCAGCGCTCGCCAGTTGCCAGCGGCCTCTCAAGTCGACAACGGAAGCGACTTGAAAAGTGAAGCAGAGATACCTATATACTTATGTGCGCTTCCCTCAGCCGCGCACGTGGCCCTCCTAGCTCTCCGCCGAAGGTTCGCCGCCGGAGGTAAAGTAGCATAATGGCGCCTGAGCCAAACAATGCAGGAACCCGGAGCAAGATGGGAGCCTTCTGAAAGACTTGCTCCGAACGACCTGCGCTTTCTTAGGCGAGCACAAATCGCGTTGCAGGAGAACACTAATAGGTTGAACCACAGAGAGCCTCCGGAAAGACAGGAGTGTCAAGCACCGTCCTTGGTGGCTTTCCCCTCTGGCCTGCAGGGGTTACAAAGACTGCAGATTCTAGATTGTTGTAGTTCACGATCGACGACCTGGCACAGGCGCGAAGCATGGGTCAGGCGACTGGCGCTCAACACGGTAGAGGGATTCTGTGCCCGCCCCACAAACATCGCTCAGTTGGCCTGATTTCGAAGTACTTGCCGGTTTCCTGGCAAGCATGCGAGAGCTGAGCAATCTCTGCACAACGACGTGCTCGCCCGTTTCTAAAGTCCTGGAACTAGGGGCTTTGCATGAGGAAATGCCTCTTGGAAGCTTTTGGGGATCTTTTAGGCCAAGGACTCTTTGCATACAAAGCGCGACCCTGGCAACCCTAAGCCAAGTAACCATGACATTGAAACCTTTCCTGCGCGTCATGTTGGAATTAGCGCATCGTGTTTCCATGTCCCTGAGCATGCGTGCAGACTCATCCCTCTCCTGCAGGTTCGAGAGCCACGTTGCAAAGGTGGCTCCGCTCGTACTCTGAGTCTGCCAGTAAATCGCTCCAATGGTCCAGGGCCTCGATCCGATCTTTCTCAGCTCTGCCGTGCAGTCAACTTTCGCTGGGGAGATGGCATGCCCAGACCAAGGAACACGTTGACGGAGTTGCTGCCTGTGACCTTCCGCGAACTGGCGTCATTTGCAGACTACCGAGCCTCAAGACATTCAGCTGCTTCAAAGGCCCAAGTCTGCCTACGCCTACGATTGGCTACAAAAGCAAAGCGATGATAATCGGGCGGGCGATGACTTCCACCGTTACCAGTAAAAGCAGGTCCTCCTTCCTCCTTGCCTCACCCGACCCCCAAGAGTCTCGTTGAGAGAAACATGTCGATTTCATCTGGTCAAGCAGTTGCACAGAGCGACGACTCTCGTGAATTTGCACGTGCTGTCGCCATTCACTCTGGGAAGCGTGCATTCCCAATGGAGGCATCCGCATACGGATCCATGATGGCAGCCGTCTTGGATGCAAAGGTGTCCTTGTCAGCATGCTTCGGGCTAGGCCAGAGCATCCACACAAGAGCTGCCAGGGACACCCGGCTGTACAGTGAAAGCACAAGGCCGCTGAGAAGCCACTGCCATGCTGGGCCAATACACTGACCCACTTTGCAGCCATGCGTCAGGCAAAGAGGTCCCCAAAGCTACGAAAGTAATGGCCGTGATCTCCGGCCCGATGTTCCTCGCGATGGCTGTCTGCACCCCCCCAACTTTGCTAAAGTCGCTGCTGGAGACTGGCAGGAACAGCTGCGACTTGAGAGTATCGCAGACAATGCAGGTAAGCGACAGTGTGCAGCCAACGAGGTTGGCCAGGTCGCCAACTACTGCTGTCAACACAGCCTGGTGAGTTTGGCGCTGCACATCAACGACGAGTGCCGGAAAGGGAAGACCGGCTTCTGTTCACCATCTTCTTGCTGTCAGCGCACTATCATGCCAAGGGCCACGAAAAAGCAGCACCAGCCTTGCATCCGCGTGGCAGAATATGGCGTGTGCACTAAGCGCCTGCCCTGCTTTGCCGCTAGCAGTGGCAACCGCCACCCTACACAATCCCCGAAGAACAACTTGAGTCCACCAAAGGTCTCTGCCGTTACATCCTGACAGTCCCCCCTGATCATTGAGGAAGATTCGACTGCGAAATATGGCCTTCGAGCCTTCGGCCAGCAGGTTTCGGATTTTCTGTACATGTCGACTTCCGTCATTGAATAAGCTATGCTTTCAACTTGGTATGGTCCCTCGGGGTGGCGGAAAGCAAAAGTGCCCTTTGGGCGTCTCAGAGTTGTCAGGCGAAGAGCGGGGGGGGGGCATGATTGGAGCCGGTGGTTGGTGGCACCAAACCTTTCTGGGGCTCACTTCGAGCATGATTCGCAGCACTTGTGACGGTATTTACACTGTTTCTTTCTGCTGCCGCAGCACCATGAGCATCAGTTGGGTTTGGGTCGGTGGCCAGGCAGGTGTTGTTGCTTTTTGCTGCTTTCTTGCTGCACGCAACTTCTACAAGGGCCAACGTTACGCCAATGATGCCCATGATGCTGCCCGTCGACCCCGCCATCATGAGCATCATGGGTCTGCGCTGGTCGTCTTCACGTCTTGGGGCCCCATGTCTGGTCCACCTGGACCAAGCACCTTTTGCAGTACATGCTTGCGCCGCAAACGAGCGCGGATGCTGAATGGCAAACCTGCTGGGGTGTGCAAGCATGTGCAAGCCCTAATCGCTGAGAGTTGGGAATGCAAGGCGAGAGTGGCCGACAGTGAAACCGACAACAAGCCTAGCAAACCCGTGAACATGATAGATCAAAAGCTTCAGAAGGAATTGGCATAGTCAAAGACAAGATGCTGCGAGGAACTCAGAATGGCAAACCCGAATCTCGGAAAAGAGAGGAAAGCATGCTGGCACAGAAGACTGTTCAATCGTTGCGAGGGTGCACTTAAAACGAAAGCAAGGCGGCACACAGAATCCATAGCGGGTAGCACCCTCAGACCCTCAGTGGTCGTATTTGATGACATCTCCCACTATTCCATCACCTTCGCCTCGGCAGCTTCTACGCTGCGGGTCTCCCGGCAATAAACCTACGTGTTTAAATGTGTTCGTCCAAGATCTAAAGGACTGAACAACCCTCCGACCAGTCATGTTTAGACTGTCTAGAGTCTAAAGGCGAAGCCAAACAAAAGGCTAAGCGTTTAACCTACGTGTTTAAACTTGTTCGTTCAAGATCCAAGAGCACTTGTACCATGCACAGTAGTGGGCTTTGTGGGCCTATAAGGCGGCAACGCTTGGCTGCTTACGGGCTCGTTGAAAAGGTTTGAATACTTCTTATGGGCTTTGAGGCTGCGGCACTGACGGAACCGTCAAAACATGCGTTTAGAACATTGATTTCAACATATTCCGGGTGCGTGGCACTCCGGGAAACGTTTAAACATGTGTTTCAACACAGGTTTCAACATGTTCGGGATGTTGGGCACTCAAGGAACCGTCTAACCAGGCGTCTAAAGGTCCGCTTAAACATGTTCCTGATGTGCAGCACTCAAGGAACCGTCGAACCATACCTTTAAAATAGGTTAGATTTCACATGCTCGGGATATGTGGCAGCCAGGGAACCGTTTCAATATGCGCTGAAAGATTGAAATTGGTTCAAACACACTCGGCATTTGTTGCACTCAAAGAACAGTTTTTCACATGCGTTTAAACTTGGCTCAAATACATTCCGGATCTGCGGCACTCCGGTGACCGTTTCAACATGTCCAACGTGTTTCAACATTGGTTTACAAGTGTTCATGGCCTCTAGGACCCGTTTCACCATGCGTTGAAACATCGGATTGAACAACTTCGAAATGCCTGGTACAGTACTGAAAGAAAAGTTTGAATATTGGCCTACAAGTGTTCGGGATGAAGAATCGCTTGAACATTGGTTCAAACATATTTGGGAGTGTGGCACTTAAGAAGCCTTTAAACATATCTTACGGATGTGTGGCACTCATGGGAAAGCTAGGCCACCAGCTTAGACATAATGCAAAGAATTGGTCTAAACATATTCGCCGTGGTTCAGGCTTCACGTGTGGCACTCCAGGAGTTGGCACAAGTGTTTGGCAACATGATTAAACGCCCTTCTGGACATTTTAAACCCATGGTTTGAACCTCTTGCTGCAACGACACATTTTTCAAACAAACAAACAAACAAACAAAACAAACAAAAAAACAAACAAACAAACATCCACAGACTGGCGAAACACGTTTCAACACGAATGTTTAAAACATTTAAACCATTGAATTCTAAACGTGTTTAATACGATCCTGCTGCTACTTGTGCCGCTTGTGCGCCTCCAGCGCAGGCAAGCAACCAATGCGCTGGGTGGCAAAAAGCTTTGGACAAAGAGCTCGGATAGGTACGCAAGTGGAAAAAACCATGGGCGTGGTGTGATGTGGCGACAACGACACACCGCAAGTCCGGCTCGCAGCCGTCCCGGACTGCGAATATGATTCCATGCCGAGGCACCATTGCAATAGTCTACAGGTGGAATGAATGCAAAGAGGAGCTTCCAGGGCATGCCTGCAACTGCAAGAATCGGCTTCCAAGCTGCTCTCTTTGTGCGCCGGTGTGGCACGCAGGCAGTAGCTTGGATTCGCCGAGAACCCCGCCTATGAAGTGGATAACCATGTCCATGCAGGAATGGCCACCTTCCTCCTCCTCGGCGCATCAGACATATTCAATAGCGCGCATAAATATCAGCAGCCACGCTTTCAAGCAGGTGCGTGACTAAGGCCACCGAGACCGGAAAGCTGTGGTCCATGCGGGCCAGGCTTGGCCGCATGGCTGCGACATCAATGTAAAGCAGAGATTCGTCATCATCTCTGCTCATAAACACTGCATCTCGAAACTGCTCCTGTGCAGGCAGACTTCCCACTGGATGCGCTGGAGTGTACTTCTCGGAGTTGCCTTCCAATTGGAGTAGCCGAGGGCATGCTTGTTCCAGTTGATCTGGCTAGCCTCGGTTGGCTCTCAGAATTTGACCGCCCCGCCCTGACCTGCACACAGAACGTGCGTCAAGGAGCGATGCGGTCCAGGGCTGCTTTTCGCTCGTCGTCGGCCTTGATGACAACATGGCAAATGCAACCTTAGATCGCAGAGGCAGGAGCATTCACAGAAATCACCGAACACTTCACCACCAACTTACAAGGCCTAGCATGCCATGGCAGCCTCTCAAAACAGCTCATCCGGGCGGCTTGTGGAGCCACCATCGGTGGAACGATCAAAGCTCGCACCGCCGCTTGGCTCTACCAGGTAGACGTTGAAGGACGACGTATCTTCGCGTCAAGGCACGTGCCCATGCTGTTCGAAACAACATAGTAACCGTGCTTTTCGTTCCACATGCCGTGAAGGGACTCTCGTACCGACCCTTGGGCTTGATAGTGATTTCGATTGTTGCCGTCTGCACCTTGGTTGCTGGCTCTTCGAGGTTTTGAAACGGCTAGTCGCATTTATCGGCGCCTGGGACTTCTTGGAACTCATAACGGAAAGGCCGTGTTTCTTCAACTCCGCAGTGCTTCGCTGAATACCAGAACGACATGCAGACAAGAAGCTGTGTGATCGAAGTACAGAGTCCCAGAAGCCTTTCGAAAGTACCAAAATTGGGGAAGCCTACACAAGCCAACTTGCACTTAAGCCTCGACGTAATCATAGCCGGCAATGGCTGAGTTGTCTTCTGTGTAGTAGCGGCACTCGATGGCTCCTGCAGTGGTTTTCAGCCAACTCAAGCCGAGGCGGCAACCGGCCGGGATGCCACGACCAGGACCAGCCTGTCGCACCGTTGTAGCGCTCCACGATGATGCGGAGAGTGGTCTCCTGAGGCAACCGGCCGGCACAAAAAAAAACCGTTCGAGGCCAATCGGTCCTCCTCGCGCTCTTTAACCTCCACCTGCTCGTGCCTTACCAAGATGACAGACAACCAGCGACCATACTTACATTTTTCTCATTACTAATATCAGCAAAAGCAACATCCGGGGCTACATTCCAGGTTTTTTTGGCCTCTGGCCCACCGGCCGGGTCTCCCAACTCCACCCTTCAGCCCGGACTCCAGTTGCCGATTTCCGCCACAGCTGCAATTGGCATACCCCATCTAGTTACAGCGGTGCACTGAGTTGCAGCAGGATTCGGTCAGGTGTGGCTTCAGGTCGGAATCACATCTTTGGTGAGAGGCATGCTGTACCAAGGTATGACGATGAGTCACATCATCAATCTCCCTGTCTCTCTGTGTCTGTCTGTGTGTGTGTGTGTGTCTCTCTCTCTCTCTGTGTCTGTGTCTGTCTCTGCGTCTGTGTCTTGGTCTGTGTCTGCGTATGTGTCTGTGTCTCGGTCTGTGTCTCGGTCTGAGTCTGAGTCTGAGTCTGTGTCTGTGTTTGTGTCTGTGTCTGTGGCTGTGGCTGTGGCTGTGGCTGTGGCTGTGTCTGCGTCTGTGGCTGTGTCTGTGTCTGTGCCTGTGTGTGTGCCTGTGTCTCTGTGTGTGTGTGTGTCTGTGTTTGTGTGTCTGTGTTTGTGTGTCTGTGTTTGTGTGTCTGTGTTTGTGTGTGTGTGTGTCTGTGTGTGTGTGTGCGTGTCTGTGTGTGTGTGTGTGTGTCTCTGTGTGTGTGTCTCTGTGGGTGTGTGTGTGTGTGTGTGTCTGTGTG